AGGAGCTTAGTCCCCTGATTGTCATCATCACTGCAATTCTCCAAATCCTTGTCTGGTTTCTGCCCACCAGAAGTCACTGTAGCATTCTTCACAAACTTCTGATATAACAAGCTGGGCTTGAAACTATGGGTAGTCTCCTTAGAGAGGTGTCTTATCTATATTACATCCTGCCCAGACTCCACTATCAGGTTGCCTGAAGTTTTGTTAAAGAGCTCATTCCACCATTGGTTTGTGAACTCTTTGGCAGGGTCATTTCCTACTCTGTGGGTATGCTGTTTCATTATCATTCTGATGACCTGAGTGATACCATTCTCCTTCTGACCAAGCCTTTGCCTTGAGTCCACCCCTGATTTAGCAATTGTTCCTCAGCAAACTTCATCAAGAGCAAACTCTTGAGCTCTGGGGAAGTGTTCATGGTGAGGAAGAGTCATTGTCCTTAAATTCTCTCCAAAGTAGTCAGATATAAGGTTGGCAGTCCAAATTCAACAGGTGCTCCAGGGGCAGGTAGGCAGTCTCCTCCTGTAAAGATGTTTTTGGTTTTGTGTACCATACAGTCAGACTGACTCATAGCTGAACCTCTGGTGCGATTTAATTGCACAGGAAGAGATTCCTCATCTTTCTCCCTGAAAGACCTGGTGGCCTAAAGCTATGTGCCTTTGGGATTGCAGTGCAGATTCTTGCCTCCAGAACTTCTGTAAAGATGGACAGCCACAGAAATCAACTGAGGGTCACTATAAGTCAGAATTGACTCTTGGCAGTGGGTTTTGAGGGTGCACAGCAACAGAAAGTGATATGTCCAGTCACATTTGCTGAATTTATACATAGGGAAGAGCTGCTATATATAACTATGGGCAAATGTGACAAAGTATCCCTCAGACTGTGAGACACATAATTTGCAGAGTGGTAAGCACAATTAGAATCATTGCTTCCTCTCCAAACAAGCTGCATTTTCTGGAGGAATGCCCTAACTGGTTGCCCTTTCTCAAGACCTCCTTCCTCCTGAGATCTAAATTCAAGCCCTCCAGCTGCAGTCTCAGTTGAGTAAGCCTGCATTTCCACCTCTTACTTCCTTCTGGGACTGGGTTAACTCTATTACCATCCCAAGGCACTAGTGCCCCTCCCCAGCACTGCACTGTCCCTTCAGTGGAATCATGTGCCTGATCAGGCCTGTGTGCCGACATCCTCATGGAAATGCTGCCTGATTCTGTGTATATACTTGTCACTATGTTGAAGAAATCCTCTTCTGTTTTTATTTTGCTAAGTGATATATTTAGGAAATATTATTAGATTTTGTTAAAGACCTTTTCTACATCAATTGATAGGATCTGTGGTTCTTGTTATTTGCTTTGATAATGTGACGAATTACATTAGTTATTTTTCTTATTTTGAATCATCCTTGTACACCTGTTAAGAATCCTGCTTGTTCATGGTGAAGTATTTTTTTAGACTCTGTTTGAGTCTATTGGCCAGGATTTTGTTAAAGATTTTTGCATCTATATTCATGAGAGATATTGGTCTGTCATTTTCTTTTTTGGTAATATCTTTGCCTGGTTTTGGTATTAAGTTTATTCTTGCTTCACAGAATTTCTCTGGGAGTGTACCTTCTTTTACTGTTTTTGGAAATAATTTAAATAGACTTAATGATAGGTCTTCACAAAATGTTTGGAACAAACATTAAGCAACAAAACCATCTGGTAATAACAAATAAACAAATAAATAAAAATTTTAAAAAACCAACCCATCTGGTCCAGGGCTTTTTTGTTGAGGTGTCTTTTTATTCTTTTTGTGACATGCTCAATTTCTTCTTCTGTGATGGGTCTGTTCAAATGCTCTATATCTGTCCGTGTTGATCTGGGTAGGATGTGAATTTCAAGGAATTTGTTCATTTTCTCTAGGTTTTTTAACTTATCAGAATATAGCTTTATAATGATATTCCAATATTATAAATTTAATTTCTTCTGGTTCTGTGGTATGTTGCTTCTATCATTTCTTGATCAAGTTATTCATAACTTCATTTCCTTTTGTTTTGTTAAGTTTGCCAATTATTTGTCTATTTTATTGACTCTTTTGAAGAAGTGGCTCCTGGTCTTATTGATGGTTTCCTTTGATTTTCTGTGTTCTATCTCATTGATTTCAGCTCTTGTCCTTATAATTTTTTTTTCCTAGAGGCTGTGGGGTTAGACTATTGTTCTTTTTCTATTTGATTGAGGTGCTGAGTTAGATAATTAATTTTGCTTCTTTATTCCTTTTTTATGTGTTTGCCTAAGGCTATGAATTGTGCCCTGAAGATTGCCTTAGCTGTATCCCAGATTTTTTGGTATGCTGTGATTTCAATATTACTTGTTTCAAGGAATCTTTTTGTTCAATTTTTTAAATTTCTTCTGTAGCCCAGTTGTGTTCTAGCAGGGTGTTACATAGTTTCCACATGAGTGGTTTTATAAGCTTTTGCCTTTTGTCATTAATTTATAGTTTATGGCATTGTGATCTAAAAGGATATTTAGTATTATCTGAATGTTTTTTTAATTTGTTGAGGTTTGCTTTGTGTCTTACTATACGATCAATTCTGGAGAATGTACCAAGTTCATTGGAGAAGAAAGTAAATTAACTTTTTTTTTTTTGGTTGGGTGCAGTATTCTGAAACATCCACAAAGTTGAGTTGGCTGATTGTATAGTTTAGACCTACTGCATCTTTGTTACATTTCTTTCTAACTTATCATTTGCTAAGAGTGGTGTGTTAAACTATTCTACCACTATTGTGGTGCTGTCTATTTCTTTCTTCAAGTCTGTTTACTGCTATTTTATGCATTTTGCAGTTCGATCATTTGGTGCGTAGATGTTAACTAAGGTTATGTCTTTTTGATCTTTTGTGCCTTAAATAATTATATGATTATATCTTGTATGGTGGATTTCATCCTAAAGTCTATTTTATCAGAGATTAGTATTGCCACTTCTACTTTATTGTGGCTTTCATTTCATTTGTTTGGTATTTTATTTTTCCACTCTTTGATTTTTAGTCCATCTTTTTTTCTCATTGCTTAGGCAACATAATGATGGATTTTGGGTTTTGTTTGGGTTTTTTTTAATCCATTCTGCTTCTCTTTCTCTCTTAATTGGTGCATTTAGTCTATTAACATTAATTGTGATTATCGCCAGGTCAGATTTTATTGTTGCTGTTTTGCTGTGTTTCTTTTTATGTTGTTTCTTGTTATTATGGTCCATCCATTTTCCTTTGGTGCCTCTGTGTAAAGAACTTGTTTTAGAATTTCTTGCAAATATGGTCTTATTTTTACGAATTAGTTAAGTTCCTGCTTTTCTGCAAATGACCTAATTTTGCTTTCATATTTGATGGACAGCTTTGCTGGGTACAGAATCCTTGGCTAGCAATTGTTTTCTTACAATCTTCTATATATACCATCCCACTGTCTTCTTGCTGACAAGGTTTTTGCTGAGAAATCAGAAATTAGTTGTTTCTCCTTTGTAGATGACTTTTGCTTTTCTCATACTGCTCTTAGTATCCTACCCCTATCTTTGGTTTTGGAGAATTTGACTAAGATACGTCTTGATGTTTTTCTTTTTTGGGTCTGGTATTTGATGTTTACTAAGATTCTTTAATGTGGATTACTCTGTTTTTCACAATTTTATCAGTGCTTTTCTTATCCCTCTCATGTTCTGGAATTTCTTATTTATGTTGCTCCTTTTGATGTCATGCTACAGGATTCTAATGTTTTCTTCCTACCTCCTCTCTGATTTTCCTTCTTACATGTTTCTGTTGAGCTTCTTGTCTTCCATCTCACTAACCCTTGGTTGCATTTCTTCTGTTCTACTTTTTTTATCCTTACACTATGTTGGACACTTCTACCATTTCAGTCTTCATATTCTGGATTGGCCTGTCAAACATTTCTGTTATTTTGAGTACTCTGTTGGCTATACCCTCTCTGTCTTGTCATGCTCCTTAAGTTCTTGTGCCTTTTTATCTATAGTTTCAATTATTTCTTGCATCTTTTGCTGTTCCTTCCATAATTGTTCAAGTTCCTCCTTGTTGATATATTTCTTTTAGCTCCCTGTCTCTGGAGTATCTGGGATTCTTTATGAGTTCCATTGTATTCTCCCATAATTTGCACGTTATTCCATAACTGTTTCTATAACTCCAAATCAATATCTTTCTAGGGTTCTCTGCCTCTAGGGTATTCACTTTATTTCTCACTTCTATTTCTTCTTCTGTAGCTGTTCAAATGTCTCCATGTCATTATGTATCTTCTGCCTTCCCTACACTGAACTATTCACTGGTTCTGCAATATCATCTGCTTTACCTGAGTAGGCTTAATTTGTTTTTTCACAATGTTTAAAGTGGCCTTTTGCCTTCTGGACATTTTGTGAATTTATTCTTGATATGTATTAGGCCATTACTATTGTATCTACATAGACTATTGATAATTCTCTCCTTATGATGTAACTGTTTAGTTGCCAGCTTAAAACATTTCATCTATGGAACTTGCTCTATGGAAGTTCTTTGTGGTACTATGGAGCAAGAAAATTTGCCTTTCATAATGTACTTCAGTCCATCTCGAGGGTCTTCCTCTCTTTCATTGTCCCTGCATCTTCCCAAGCATGACATCCCTCTCCAAGGATTGAAACCATCTTGCAACATGTCCAAAGTATGTTAGATGCAACTTCAGAATCCTTGCCTCCAAGGAGCAGCCTGGCTCACACTCTCCAGGATGAACTTTTTTGTTCTCCTAGCAGTCCATGGTATATTCAATACTCTTCTCCAATGGAAGACCTTTAATGAGATGGATTGATTCAGTGACTGGGGTAATGGGAATAGGTGTGTCAGAGATTGGCACAGGATAGAGCAAAGGTTTAGGGCTGTTGTGCATAGGGTCGTTATGAGTTGCAGGCAACATAATGGCACATAATAACAACAAAAACAATGTATTTCATGTCTTCTCTGGTCTGCAATGAAGCTCTGTGGGAATCTCGCCTTATTGCATCTCCCTCTCCTAAAGTCTATTGTCCTCTTTTGTCACAGAGTGGTGTGCAACCAGGTGCTCCAACTTGAGCAGTTTCTTTCCAGGGGGCTTTGAAGGCAGTTCTCTACCTAGTACTTCAGCACGCCAGCTGTGAAAGTGAGTCTCTCTTAGCATACGCTTGTAGAATGGTAACGAGAAACCAATATCAATAAACTTTCCATGGAAAAGTGCCATAGCGATAAAGCGACCAATGAAACAGAAGTATGAAAGATGATCGGGATTAATGGTTGACGCAGGGTTAATCTGCAGGCAGTAGTTGTTCTTGCCAGCGTACTCAAATAAACAATACATAGGTTTCAGAACTTCATGGGAAAGTAAGAAAAACCATTCTCTTGCTAAACCACCATAATCAAGTCCTTCTTCTCCTCGAAATATTATATATAATCGCCTCCTCAAGTCATATGGTTTTAATGCCATAATCTGTTGGAAGGAATCTTCAAACAATGTCTGGCGGGACACGTTGATCTTCACATGACTGGGTAGTGCATTAGATTGGCACAAATAACGGAAGTGAGCAAGTTTCCACCTAAAGCTGCGTTCGCAAGCGATTTGTGGACCACCTTTAGTCACAGATGACTTCCCATTCCGAGGGTCTTTAAATGTTGTTGTTCTTGTGTTATGATCGACAAAGTATCGAACACCTTCTCGTGTGTACCTGATTTCCCAGCCTTCTGGCAGGGGTTCTTCATTCTGTAGGCCTTGAGTTCTTGGGTCTTCCCACTGGGTTGTTTTTGTATTATGATTCACAAAGTAAACCCTGTCCGTTGAATCTACCCTTTTTTCCCAGCCTGGTGGCAAAGGCCCATATGGGTCATTTTCCGCAGCTAACATAGAAGCCGAATAGAGGTATCGTTGGTTGAACTGTTGCATAGCTCCCTGCAGTTGGTTCCGCTGAGACTGCCACTGTTCAAAGTTACGGACAGACTCCATGGTTGGTCGCTGCCATGTTGTTGTTCTAGTGTTATGATCCACATAATAAACTCTTCCACGATCATCAACTCTCCTCTCCCAACCTGGAGGTAAAGGCTGTAGTCGCTCCCACGTGGTCGTTCGGGTGTTATGATCCACATAATAGGTTCTACCATGAGGATCTTTTCTCTGCTCCCACCCTGAGGGTAGAGTTTCTGTGTTGGTGTTTCCAGGCTGTTGCCGTAAAGGTTCCACAGAGCCATCGGACTGTCTTATTTTGGCTGCTTCAAAGGCAGAACCATTTCCAGAAGTAGAGGTGACAGGGTCTAAGGTACTTCTAGCTTCAGATTCCAGTGCTGCACTGGTAGAAGGAATACATTCATTGTTTTCTGAGGAAGTTGGTGTTTCTTGAACTAAAGGGTCTTCGACAGTAGTACTAATGCAATCTGAAGCCATGGTGGTTTCTTCAGACACTATTGCAGTCCTCGTGGTGCATTGATCATCCACTAGTGCAGATGAGGATGATTCTCCATTAACACTGCCACTGGCAGGCTCAGATGCAAGTGGTTTTGGAGCTGGTGTATTTTTGGGTCTGGCAGCAACCTGAGACGGAGATGAAGGTGTGTCTTCTCCATTAACTGCATATGAACAGCAGGAGTAAGAACTTAAAAAAAAAAAAAGAAAGTGAGTCTCTCACCTGACTACATCTCTTCTCCTGAACTCTATTGTCCTCTTTGGTTCTTGGGATGGGCCAAGGTCACAGGGTCTCCAAATGGAGAAGCCTTTCTCCAGGGAAGTTTTAGGTCCCTCCTTCCTTAGCACCTGAAAGTGCTGACTGTGGGACTGAGTCTCTCACCTGATTATTGACAGGTATTTTTAAATTTTGGGCATGTAGCATTAATCATGGATTTAATTTCATTTTCCAAGTTACTAACGATGGTGAGCATCTCTGACCTTATTTGCCTCCATTTATCTTTTTGTGCTGAATGAAGTGTCTTATGTAGGTCATTTGTGCATTTTTTTATTGGATTTTTTTGTTTTCTTATCACTAAGCTTGACAAATTCTTTATGTATGCTGGATATGTCTTCATCAGATAAGTGATTCACGAATGTTTGCCCGAAGACGATGGTTTCTGTTTTCATTCTTTTATCAAACTCTTTTGAAGAGCAATTCTTACTTTTATGGAGACAAATTTATCATGTTTCTTATTTTGATATATCATGCTCTGGGTATCAAATCTAAGAATTCTTTGTCTATGAGACACAAATACTTTATCCTATGTGTTTTTCAGATAGGTTTATGTTTCTATTTAAGCATGTAATTTACTTTGAGATATTTTTGTATTTAGCACAAAGTTTTAGTGAAATTTCAAGTTTTTTGGTTTCTTTGGTTATTTTGCATATGAATGCCCAACTGGTTTGGTTTTGAGAAAATTAACATTTATTTAACATATAACCCAACAATTGCAGTCTGAGAATGTAAAGCATATGTCCACACAAAAACCTGCATGGAAATGTTTACGGTGGCTTCATTCAAACTGCCTGTAACTGAAAACACCTGAATATTCATTAACTACTAATGGATAAATAAACTATAGCCTATTGATATAATGAAGTACTAGTGTCTTGGTTGTGTACTGTCAAATTGGTACTGACTCATAGCTTATCCTCCACCAGGTTTTCAGAGACAGTTAATAGTCTGAGAAGAGATTGCACACAGATCCCACAGAGCAGTTGATAAATTCAAGCCCCACATCTTTGGGATTACAATTCATCTTCTTAGCAGTAAACCACCAGAATTCCTTTCAGTGATATAAAGGAGCAAACTACTGGTACACATAAACGAATTCACACACACAAATCTCAAATGCATTATGCTAACTGAAAGAAATCTGTTCAAAAGCTACATACCACGTGAAGCCCATGTTCAAGTGATTGTCAAAAGGCAAAATGAAAGAACAGAAAATTGTCACATCATTTTCAGGAACTGAGGAAGAAACTGACCACAGAAGGAGGACATGTTTAGGGGCTATAGAAGTGCTCTATATCTTGACAGTGGTAGTATTTATATGCCTCTGTGGATTAGCCAAAATTAACAGAGGGCGCTGCTGCAAAATTCTGTTCTATCTCTGCTACATCACTGGTTTTCCCTCTCTAGTAGGTCAGTAAGGAGCCCTAGTAACACTATGGACTAAGTCCTGGGTTGCTAATCTAAAGGTTGTTGTTGCTGCTGCTGCTATTGTTGTTAAGTGCTATCAAGTCGTAGGTGACTCAGAGCAACCCTATGAATGAAAGACCTGGACACTTGTATAACTTTCAACCTTTCTCCAGGTTAATAGGGTTTCCAGAGGCAAGCTATTTCAGAAGTAGATATCACTTCTTCCAAGCTTGTTTTGATCAGGGAGCTCCACTAAACACTGCCCACCATGGGTAACCATTCTCACATTTGACACATCAGTGTCACAGTATTCAGCTTCACAGAAACCACAAGTTACCTCTGTACAGCAAGTGGACAGACTGGAGCTATATGACCTAGAAGAATGTTTGACCAAAACCAATTAAAAATAGGCCTGAGGCCCTGCAGCCCTTGGGCCCTACAGTATTTTACAATTCCAGCACGCCCAAATGCAGAGACCCCCAATTTATCTGTCAAGTCCCCTCTGCTGACACCATTTGGGATGTATAATGTATACACACACTCTATATACTATATACACACAACACACACACACACACATACACACATTATATATACACACTGTATATACTATATATACACACACATATACATAAATATATAGTATAGTGTATAGATAGAGAGAGAGAGCGAACACACACACACACACACACACACACACACACACACATATTCTGGGTCAAAAAATAAACCACCTATACAAACAATGGGTGACAGAAACAGAGA